ACGAAACTCAGAGACAAGATTAATGAAGATTTAATTTTATTTATAACTATTATTGCTTTGTCTCGTGTTACAGAACACTAGAATGACAATAATTGCTTGCTTAAAGAAACATTATTCTCTGAACTACCCTGGTAGACCATCTTTTTTGACGAAACACAATCATTGATTCAGTTATTGATAATATAGGGTGTTCCAATAACTTGGACTGATTTTAAATGGGAATTAAGTTTAAGATTTTAATGATTTCTTTTCTTTTTTTTTTCAGATTTAACAACTTGAGTCTTTGGCAATTTCGACCATGGAAAGATTAATAAATCAAAAAACGTCGTAAAGTTATCGGAGCCTATTACAAAAATGGGCATCTGTGATGAGATTGTTCAGCATTCACTGCCATATAGCTGGACTGATATTACATGATATCCCAGTACTCCTTTCTTTCTTTCTTTCTTTCTAATGCAATTTTCCTGCACCTTAATTCTTTGCTTAGCTTTTGGAAGGTATCTTTTCGCTATCCCAATGCACCTTCGGATTTCTGTGTCGCATGTTCTGTTCTATGTTATTAGGTTGGTGCAAAAATAATGACGTAATAATGTCGTTTTTTACGTTAAAAAATACGCCCTAAAACGACATTATTACGTCATTATTTTTGCACCAACCTAATAAAACACTTCCGAGATATTTAAAGTTTTGTACTTGCTTCATTTTGATGATCCCAATTCGTGTCTCGCATCTTGGGCTATTCCGTTTGCTAACAACCGTAAATTCTGTCTACTTACAATTGATGTTTAGTCCTTTCTTCCCGCTTTCCTTTACTGCCTTTTCTATAAGTTCTTTCGGTTTCCCTGTGTCTGCTATCAACAATATGTCATCAGCACTTCTTATATTGCTAAGACTGTGGCCGTCAGTAATCATCCTTCTTATATCAGGAGGAAATTCCGTCAGAAATTGTCCAAAGTTTTGAATGAATTATTTTTCAAGCTTTCGACTTTTCTAAGTCATCATCAGGGCACGCAGAAACAAATAGAGAGTTTCGTAGAAAAAAACAATATATATATATATATATATATATTGATACACGTTTCATTAAATATTATAGACAAGTGTTGTCTATTTGTCTATTTATTTTATGTAATTTTTTTTCGTAAGATCTGATAAGTTTAATAACATTATCGTTGAACGAAGAAAGAAAATCACAATATTGATCCATATTTTTTATTTAATACAATCTAAGCTTTCGGCTTACATAAGCCATTATCAAAGATGTCAATTACAATATATTAAACAATATACGGACAAGACAGTGATGATAGTCTGTCATTGTTTACATAGATGATTTCTAAGTAATTATAAACACGTGCATATAAGACGCAAGAAGCGAAAATCGCACCGCATCTCATGACGTCACACATGACCACACGAGAGTGAATTGACAAGTATAAAGTATGGTAAGCCGTTGGTATAAACCAATGGCTTCTGTTACCAATTATAGACATTTAAGAATATTTGTAGAGATGCCATAATTGATTTTGTTTAGGTTGGGTTTCAACTGTTTGATGTATAATGCTTCAAGGATTTTTAGTTTTTGTCTATTGTTTTCATGTCGAAGTATAATTGAGTTTTCGACAAGTATTTTACGGAATTGTGTGTGCGGGCAAGCATGTTGTTTTAAATGTCTAAAAATGTAGTGTCAAGCGTCGGGAAAGCGAGTTTGTTGTGTGACCAACATAAAAGATGAAAAGATGCTGCCTAAATACACACATATATATATATATATATATATATATATATATATATATATATATATATATATATATATTATGCATAAATTCTCTATATTTAGCGGGGAAGAATACATAACATCTGAGAGAAGGATTCTTCGAGTTATAGACAGTGTGGATGTGCACCCAAATTACGCACCTAAGCAAGAAGGCCAGATGCAAGGTTGACCTGACTTCTCTCTGCTGTCGACTATAAATTGGCTTCATCCTCTTCTGCAAGCGTAGGTACGAGAATGTATAACAGAAGCAGTTACTTAAACTATCCCTTGGACTTCATATTCTTCAAGATTGCTCTATTGTCCCGCTGAGATAACATACTTTTCTTTCTTTACATTAGACATATAATAAGTTCAATTATACTCACAATAACTTTCTCCCTAAAACTTAATACTTTAGCTATAATAATACCATTCACGGTGCATTTAAACTATGCATATACTAACTTACATCAATTTTTGTCCACCGAAAATCCTGTCTTCGTAAATTTCAGTGCAAATTCTATAATAGAATCATACGCAATGCATTTACATTTTTCATAGAATATCTTTTATTTTTCCTTTTTATGTGCCATGTCCTTTCAGGGCGTAAGCGATCATGCCTCTCCACCTTCCTCTATCCTTGGGCAGCTCTCAACAAGTTCCTTCCCTCTGCCTCCTCCTCCAGACCATTTGCTTAAGCCGGCCAGGTATGTCACGCAGTGTTTTTCCTTGTTTGTATTTCCCCTCTATTCGACCCGTGAGTATCAGATTCTCCAGGCCCTCCTTCCTCATTATGTGTCCCAGAAATTTCAGCTGCCTCTTCCTGATGTTATGGGGTTCGTTTTCTTTCCGCTTTTCGAAACACAGTCAGCAGACTGACTACTGAAACATGCTGAAACAAAATCTTATGCCACATTGCTGATAAGAATAATCACAAATGTTATGCTTTACTGTCGAACATATTTAGGTTTTTGGCGCCAAAAAAAAGTGACTCTAGTTAATCGGGATGTGATGGAGTTGCGTTAAAAGCATTGAGAAATAATAAGAAAAGCTGAAACCTTTCCTATTTATACCGGATTTTAATTTCAAAATACAACCGCGTGATGGTTGTGTTATATTCTGCCTTCGCCTCCCGCAAATAGTTTTCAAAGTCTTCGTGTATTTATTTAATAAATACTACTCAGCTGAAAAAAAAAAACACTATAATGATATCGGTGTGCCAACTTAATGAATAATACCAGACTTGAAGGTTTCAGATTTGGCGCCGATTAATTGTCGTCGACATCCGCTTTGGCGGATTTCGCCCAGTTTTGACAAAATATGGATCGTTTCTCGGCCTTTGGCTGAGATTCGATCACGGCTACGACTAGTTATGACTGGCTTCGGCCCGGACTAGCTAAGACAAGCCATGACCAGTGTTGACTAGGCTCTGACCAGCTTGGACATGCTAAGACCAGTTTTAGACATTTTGGCCCTTTGAGTGGAAACACTCGGGTCTCCCATGTTAAACTACCTTGTGTCACATCCTGACCCTGTGGGACTCAGGTAAATACCTTGGCGACGATTAATTTTAACCAGCTCCTAACTTCGTTAACTACTCTCAATCAGTGTGCCTAGGTGGGAACGGCCTTTTCGCGCGTGGTAAATATATATATATATATATATATATATATATATATATATATGAAGAAAAATACAGAAAAAACAAACAAAAATCTTAATATGCAATAATGCTGTATTAATGTTAATATAAAGTCGACGTCGGACGTCTATTTAAGACCATCTTCATGGACATTTTCATTTAAACATAATTAACATTAGAACATATAAAAATTCAACAGGAAAAGACGATGGGCATAAGAGCACAACTAATCCAAACAGATAACTGAAATTTTATATAAGATCAGCGTTCCGTTTAAATATGATCACGTCGTCGTCACGTGAGCGATGTTGTGAAAACGTATTCGAAGATGATTTCCAAATATTAAAATATTAAAAAAGTCGATTGAACTATTTTATATAAACAGTTCAAGAAATCCCTTCCGTTGATATAGGAATACGCAGAGATACTTTATATTAACATTAATACAGCATAATTGCATATTAAGATTTTTGTTTGTTTTTTCTGTATTTTTCTTCATACTGTCGGATCTATATCCATATATTTGCTCACATATATATATATATATATATATATATATATATATATATATATATATATATATTCTCACTGCCCTGTCGCTATTTCCAATCGAATGGAATGCACTCAGATGAGCAGCATTTCTTCTAAATATACCAGCTTTAAACATCACGGCTATGGTATGTCATGGCGGCGAACCGCCCTCATTCCGTATTCCACTGGGTAGATTTAAGTTCGACTCGAGCAGCAGCTTCTAGCGAGCCACTGTTGTGTGGAACCGACTCCAAAGAGGACGGTTTCCCGATTAATACAATCTTAACCAGTTCAAATCTAGGATTAACCCTTATCTTCCTCACATATCCGATCAAAAATGTGCCTCTTACTCTCCAACCCTTTACTTCGAGTAGATTCCGGGCCTTGTACAGTGTGAACTTCACTGTAATATATATATATATATATATATATATATATATATATATATATATATATATATATTAATGTGGTCTTATGCTAGATTAATGTATGCTTTTGTCAATAACTTGTTAAATATATTGATACGCCCTTATGTGAATAAATTTGTAAATATACAAACTGATTTTGTTCTTTTTTTTTCTTTTCCTTGACATTTGTCTTCATCAGATGCCAGTTGTACTCAATGAGATAATTACAAAAAAATATGAAAGGAGAAAAAAAAATGATCTGATTTAGATTTATCAAACTGACAAAAAAAAAAACGGTGTCCAATCTTCATGTCAATTATAAACGTATGATGAAATCCCAAAACTCTTAACGGATCTTTTTATCCATACACTATGAATTTGGCGCCGCTAACTGAATCGTTCATTCTCAGCGACTAATCGGAAAAAAAAGGCTCACGCCGTCATCGCTAAAGCAAACACTTTATAGGTTGTGAGATTGATGTTTATTTTAGACCAGATATTGGCAACCTGAACCCTGGTAAATGAGTTCATTGCGAAAGATTGGTACCACAATAGAAGGAAACCGTAAGTAGAAAGTCTCAGGAAGAAAGAGAGCCATTCAATTGACATGCGCGATGGCTTCCCGCCAAATTTGATAACAAGGAAGTCTCAACGACACTTCGAGATGCTCGTACGTCAGAAAATGTCGGGCTCGAAGCGAATTTCATTAAGTTCTATCAATACTGCAGTACGCTGGTCTTCTCATGAATTGTTTAAGCAATAAGAAGAAAGGATTTTGTTCGCATTACTCTGTTAGGCAAAGATGTTCGCTGTCACCAGCCTTATTGGTGGTGCATTTGGATGTATCAAAAGTACTCTTTCTTAGCGAAAATTGACTCATGCATCTAATGTACCAAGCTGAAAAGTTACTATTTGACAAATTTAAACTTGATGCAAACTTCAGGCGCCATTGTATCATACCATTCCTGACCTTGCTAGTAAATTAATAAAATCTATATTACAACAAAGAGCTGATCCTCTCTCCATCACACACTGTGTGTGATACTGCATGAGCGTATGTAACATACATATACATACATACATATATATATATATATATATATATATATATATATATATATATATATATATATATATATTAGTGTAAATATACACATACATATATATATATATATATATATATATATATATATATTGCATATGTATGTGTATATTTACCACTAATATATATATATACATATAGGTGCATACACATGTATATTTTTAATAAAAAATTCCAAGAGGATAGAATTCAGGTAGAACTCAAAAACTTCTCTCTGTTAAGGTTTAATCTCCCACCTTCTCTCGTCTGTTACCCCTCTCTTTAGCTCTAATATTCGTCCCGCACTCTCATACTTACACTCTCTCTAAATTTCATTTTTTATTTCCGGAGTTTTTTTTTCCGTTTTCTTTTTGAATTTCTAGGTCTGATGAATTGGATCGTATTTACGATTCCAATGGAATAAATTTTGACCATGGAATATTAGTGCTTAAGCCTTTTTTATTATATATATATATATATATATATATATATATATATATATATGTGTGTGTGTGTGTGTGTTTTGTGTATGAGCGTTTGATACGTGCTTGTGCCATTTCATATATACACAACTACACGCACACACAATCATATACATCCAGTTTAACTGAGTTTGAAATAAGACCATGGAATAATAGATTCTCTCTCACTCAGTCCAAACAACATGTACCCTAGACTGAGCAAAACAATCATAATGCATACAGCTGAAGCATGAATGTGCAGGTGGTGCAGTGAATAAGAGCTCGGAAAAGGAAAATCGGATAGCCGAGTTCGAATTCCTGTCGGGTTCGTTATATTCACTTAGCAAAAGGTATTAATTCACTTCTTCTCAGCTATGGGTTAAATAGTAAGACATATCAGAGAATTATTATCATTCAAAAAAATTTCATATAATCCAAAAATATTTGTCGGTTTTAAAAGAACCTTAAAATATTTGATAAACCGTAAAAACAAATCAATAAATCAACTTTTCTGAAATTATTTCGTAATAAATAGAATTCATTGTCTTTTTTCTTTTTTTTTCTTTTTTTTTCTTTTTTTTCATTTTGTGATAACATTTTTATGCCTGCCACTGAATTAAAATACACACACAATTTGAATAAAATTCAACTGGACATGTGTATTGCAAGGGCTAAATTCTCTTTCAGTCTGGCAAAAATCATTGGGTAACAGGAAAAATGTATAAGCCGAAATATGTGGTTATCTGAATTTATTTTTCTGACTATTTAAACTTGATATATTTTTAGTAAATGTAGTATTTTAAATGGACAAACAATCTTTAGTTGAAAGTTGATAACTTTTCCATCAGTGAGGCCACGTGTATAGTAAGTAGACTTTAATATCGAGAGAATTAGTAATTATCAAAGAAAGAGCTGAAAAATTTTCGCTTCCATAAGAGTTCAAGGATTTTAATCAAACTTTATTTTAAATACATTGGACCATATTTAGTTTAAATATCTATTTGCAAAAGACTTAAATTGTCCAAGTTTTTACAAAATCGTTTTTTTTTTTTTTTTTTGCTGGATTTTTATTACAGCAATAAACGCAAGTATGACACCGAAATGTGTCTGGGTGAGGGATGTATAAGTTTTGTTAAAAACGTAAAGTTTTGTTGGCAAATGGCTGACATTTTGGGTACTATGGTGACAGTTATAAATCTAAAGACAATTAGACGGTTATTTAAGTCTCGATTTTCAAATGGCTGGATATAATCATAGGAAAAATCGTGGACCACTTTGGTTTCTGGATCAGAAATTTGCAATTCGAATTTGCTTTATACGATTAAGCAAAACTATAAAAATTCAGTTTAGCAAACATGGCGACACAAAATGAAGTTTACCATGAACTTACATTTTAAAATGGACTCTCATTAAAAATATATCAAAATTCAACAACTACACACTAAAAACATATCCTAGAGCCCCATAGAATCATCCTTGAGTAAAATAATGACTGACAAGAAAATCAATATTTCACAAATTATAGTAAAATTTCTTCTTTTAACGTGGGTGATCATAACTCTCCACGATTTCCTATCCACCGTAGCTCTTAATAAGGTTTGTCTTTAATCCATATTCCCTACTCCCTGACTTGTCATCCACTAGCTCAAGTTGGTTAAGTAGGTTGCTCGCGATTCCACACCGACTCTTTAGCCTTCAAGAGATTACATTAGTGTCCAATTCTCAAAACCCTTTTTCTTCATTTTATGTCCCAAAAATTCAAGTCTTTTTCGGATTCGTTGTATAAGTGTCCCTTTTATTTCCATTTTCGTTAAAACTTCCTCATTGCGCATATGTTCAGTCCGAGCCTTGTCGTAAACAAACTCGGTAGCTGAAACAGTAGCGGCTCGTCCAGCTAAGTCGGTTTTCTAGTAAAAAAAAAAAGAGAATGCAGGTTCGATTTCTATCGGGATTTTAAACGTTGATATCTGTCAAAGTCTGTTTATATCTAATCTGTTCATATCTATTGTCTTTATATTGTTCTCTTCATATCTTTCAGTCTCTTAATATCTGTCAATTTTTATTCCCCTCATTCCATTTGACTTCCTTTTATTTCATTTTTTTTCTCTTCCTCTCCATTTTCTCTCTCCCTCTTTTAATTCTGATCTCTCCCCCTCTCTCGTAATTTCACTTATTATTTCTAACTTCCTTTTTACCTTTTCTCTTCACCATTTTCTAGTCTATTATAGTCTCGCCATCTTTACAATTCCCTTCCTCCCTTTACACACGCTTTACTTTCTCTTTTCATTCTTCTCTCTATATCTCCCTATACAAATCTCTCTATCTCTCCCTTTCAATCTTTCTTTTCCTCTTGCTCACTTTCTTACTCTCTCCTTTTCATTTTCTCCCTCTTTGATACTGTTATTGTCTATTTATTCAATCTTTCTTCTTTTAATTGTTTCTTATAGACATTTTCTTTTTCCGTCTCTATTTTATTCCCACTCATTAATATCGTTTTTAGTTTTAACTCTCTCACTCTCTCTCTCACTCTCTCACTCTCTCTCTCTCTATTTATTTATTTCTCTCTCTCTCTCTCTCTCTCTTTTCTTTCACTCTTTCTTTCTTTTTCTCTTTCTTCCTTTTTGTAGCTTCTTCCTCAGTTTTACGTAGATTTATTGACTTAGAATTTTCACTTATTTTTCTTTCCAGGGTCTTCTTGGTTGTACAGATAAATATCCAGCTTTCTCTTGTACCTTTGTTTCCAGGGTATGACGATAAACTACATCCGCGTCCAGGGTAAGACAATAAACTCCGTCCAACAGCAAGGCCTCTGATCAGGAGGCTTTCAGGAGCGTGAAACTACCTCTTAATTGCTAATGTTCCCATGTCAATCCTGACCCGGTGTGTTAGCATCTGTTAGGGTCCCAGCTATGGGTAAATAGTTAACCCTGAAACTCGAGTCAAAACGCCATGAAAATGTAAAAATAGCTTTTTAATACCAGAAATACTTTGTAAAAAAAAATATTACCAGTAATACATTTTTTTTAAATATTATCAGCGAAGGAAAATTCTTACCAGAAATAGATTTTTGGAAAGAAATATTGGCAAAACTGAAAATTTTGTTGGCGTTAAATAACCCACTGATGTTAATATGCCGTAAAATAAAACAAACTTATAACTTTGTCATTGTAGACAATATTCAGGTAATGTTTCACAGACCCTCCCGGCGAAATAATAGATAGCAGCCTGAACTGAGAAATCGGAGAGCCGAGTTCGAATTCCAATCGAGTACATTGCACACACGCGCTAATGCTCCTGGGAAATGTGTGAATCCATCCCTTCCCTATAGATAAATAGCAGAACAGATTAAGCCGTTTAGCCTCGGTTGGTACCAGTTTAGGTGAAAGTAAACTCTTAATTCAAACCAGCCTAGAGAGGATTGGAATCCGTCTGACTGTCTTGCCTAAGAAACACCACTGCTGCTGTGGCGGAAATAGATATGGGACCCCTACGACTCTAAGGGGTTATGCGATTTTTTAGGTTTTTCACAGGTGTCATACTGTTATACTGGTACACACCTATTCTATAGTTAATAGACTCTCCCACCTATAATAAGCAATAGTAGTAGTAATAGTAACGAGTCGCTATGTCAGTAGCTAAGTGAGTTGGTCAGTCAGTCGATGTCGGACACTAAGAGTATCAGCGACCACCACGAAATTTCTCTGCGTCATTACCTATTATATCAAGTTTCTAACGTTTTGTACGTCGAACCTATTTTAGGACCGACTTAGTGAAATACAAGCCACTACTGTGAAACTACTCCACAACACATAGATATATTAATTTTCAAATTAAAAGGTGATTTTGTTTAGCTTTTATATTTTATATTTTTCTCTTTTTTTAATCTTTGTGTCTAATGATAATCTTTATGTCTTATGCTTAGTTTCTGGAAGACATCTTTTGCTATTCCGCTGCGCCTTCAAATTTTCATGCCACATTTTCCGTCGACCCCACTCACTGACTTCTGTTTGTGTGTGTGATTTCTCTGTCTTTCTCACACACACACACACACACACACACACACACATATATATATATATATATATATATATATCCTTTCTTTCACACACTCAGACGCATCTACGCACACAACTCTCGTTTAAATGTCGACGTAAAAATAAAACAAGTAAAAAGTGCAGCCGCCATCTATCAACTCTTGTTAAACCATATTTAATTCCACTTTTTCAGTAAGAAGCATTTATGTCTTCTCTTCATTTTTAGTCTTCCTTTTTATTCTTATTATCGAGAACGAGGCTCTCTTTTTCAAACACCCTCTCTCTTCTCTCTTCTCTCCAAATTCTTTCTTCCATTTTTTTTTTATCTCTTTTTCAAATCCCGTAATTGATCGACACTTGTCCTGCCTAGTTTGACAACTCATTTCATTTCATTTATTTATTTGACGAGCGTTGTTGGTCTCACCTCTTGAAACCTGACACACACCGCCATACTTATTTATTTAAGGGAGGTGGAAATTTGTTGAAGGTTTGTCGGCTTTTAGCTCGAATGACTTCAAGCTGTGATGATCACCTGACCTTCTGTTTCCTCGGTCAACCTATAAAACTATTCAATGCAAATCGACCTTCTTTACGCTTATCGTATTTGATCGTTATTGATACGACAGTGTTCTCATAATTTAATGTTGGCTATCTACTCTTGTCACTGGAAGTAAATATTTTAGGTAATATTACACAAGTATCATAATTAGTATATAGATTTTTCTCGGGTGCAGTTAATTCCAATGACAAAGACGGACATGCTTGAAAAATTGAAGCAAATCGACGACAGTATTAAATTCAACAGGTTTCATGTACAAAGGTAAAAAGAAGGCTTGCAAATTTAATGTATACTTGCTGTCAGAAGAGTGTCCAAGGAAAAAGTGGGATTTGTGGACTCGTGGCTCCATTAACGTCGAAAAGAACGGCTGCAATAAACGGTTTGATTACGACGGCTGTTAGTTGCAAACGAGGAAAATTTCAGGATCGAGTTTACCGCGTGACCGCAAGATGGAATCTTGATTGGACAACATTTAGCCAATCAGAGCCCGGATTTTCAAATTCAAGATTGATCTATGAATAGTAAAGGGTTATCTCCCTTTACTATCCCTTCCAATTCTTATATTAGAGAAGTCATTTTAAAATTTTATAATGATATTTTTTTTTTACAAAATAATTAAATAAAAGCCATATTTACTAAATCAGGTTTCACGTTTTTATATCAATAATAGGCAAACATGGACTTTCGCGCCCAGAAAAAAAATGGCTTGTCACTTAGTATTAATTATAGCAGTTTCTTTTATTCTATACATTTAATTCTTTTCTTATTTGTTGTGATGTTTCCATTATTGTTATTAAAATAACATTTGATGGCGAACTGTTTAATCCGATACCCAGTGTAAAATAGGTATGTGTATCTACGTGTGTATGTTTCTCTTGCGTACCTCTTATGGTAGCTCCTTGTCGTGGTGGGGAGTCTTGGGCGGACCATTGTCTCTGAGAACGATGACGCCGGGAATTTTGAAATCCTAATATGGCCACCCTTGGCGGCAATTTCGAAGACGAGTTATATAGCAATAAAGTGTCGATGCCGACACTTGAGTTTGAACATGGTTCGCCAGTGAGCAAGCACAGGCGATCCCATTATTGAATTAAGTAGACCACGTGACCATAGAGGAAACGCATATATCGGACGTAGCGTGACGTCCAACGACTTCTATTCCTACTCACGTACGGACCGCTATTCTCTACTCTATTCACTATACTATTTCTCTTTTCATATCACGATACGGATCATTATTCGAGCAAGTATTATCGAACAAGTATTATTAGTGCGAGTAATATTCGAAGGCGTTTGACACCAGTATTGTTCAACGGCGTTACTATAGTTGTATCTGCGATTACAAAATCTCTACAAAAATAAGCATTACGAAAGTGGCAACGAGTGTTCGTTGATCTCACAAAATAGGCTAAACGCGACCAACCCCAAAGATCCCAACGGTGGAACAAGCGGATGAAAAGGGCTACGCATCACGGACATGCTACAGAAGGCGCCACTTGAAATTATATCAGCGAGAGTCCGTTGCAGTTGCATAACTGAATTCTGCAAGTTTCATTCCATATGTGCCTCAGAGGAAGGTCATATAATCAAGTTTGTGGGTCACTACCTGGCAAGTTGAGGTCCACCTTAACCAAATTCACGTCATCGGCATTTTCTTCTCTCATTTTTATTTCACCTTGAACAAACTCTTGCTTTGCCAAACGGCGATAGGGAATGAATGACGGGAGCAGGTTTGGGTGAAAATGGAAGCTTCTAATCCTGAACCTGTATGATGGCGATGAATGCAGTCATTAACGACATCGATCAGTAAAGAAGAAATTAAATTCCTGGCTAGGGGATGAATCCGACGACGTTGATTAGTTTTTAGAATGTTGCAAATATCAAATTATTATTTTAAATAAACAATCTAATTGATTAATGAATATGCATACACCTGGGTTCCCCCTCACACTAATATGATTGGCTGGTGTCAGCCATAAATACAGACTGATGTGGGGGTACATGTTCTACGTGTATTGTCTACGCCTATTGCCTACGCATATTGCCTACGACTACGACGAGTACCAGTCCATTACGGTTACCTGCTAGATTGTTCTACCCAGTTACAGTAGTCCAAAACCACTTAGCTACTTCGAACAAATATATCCCTTTCGGAGACATAACACTAAGAAATGAATAATGTTTAATATGTTTGTTGTAAATTCTCAAGAACAAAAAATATGAATAAATTCATCAAATTTTTACGTTTCATTATAATTCTAATCTTCGCTTTTTAAAACAATAGACATTGCCGAGGAATGAAGGTAGTTAAAATAATAGCGGTGTCAAGGGAAAACCCTTTTTTTTCTAAATTTATCAATCAAAATTATTTTCATATTTATTGCATTATTTATTACATTATTGCATTACTGCAATATTTATTGTATTAGTTGTATTATTGTTATGGAGTGATTTCACAGTGGAGGCTTGTATTTTGTACTAAGTCGGTCCTAAAATAGGTTCGACGTACAAAACGTTAGGAACTTGATATAATAGGTAATGACGCAGAGAAATCTAGTGGTGGTCGCTGATACTTTTAGTATCCGACTAACGGTCGTACGGCATCGACTGACTTGTTACTCTTACTACTCCTACTTATTATAGGTGGGAGAGTCTATTAACTATAGAATAGGGGTGTTCCACTATAACACTTATTTATTGTATTAGTTGGTTCACATTTTAAGAATGTTGTAAATATAAAACTATTCTTGTAAATAAACAAAACTAATAAATAAATAGTGTTTAATATTTTTATTTTAGATTCTCAAGATAAAAAATATTTATAAATTCATCTCATGTTTAGGTTGTATTAAAATTCTAATCATAGCTATTTTAAAACAATAAACATTACAGAAGAGGGAATGTGGTTTAAATAAAAGCGGTGTCATGGGAAAAATTGTCCTTTTGACAGTCCGATTTTTTGCAGTCACAAAGGTCCATGTTTGCCAAATAATATTAGGTTGTAAAAATAATGACGTAATAATGTCGTTTTTTGACGTATTTTTAACGTCAAAAAACGATATTATTATGTCATTATTTTTGCACCAACCTAATAACTATTTTCTTTAAAATCAAAATTATATATCGAATAATAAAAAGCCTACATTTAGATTTCTTATATCAGTTCAGTTAATTAGAAAACCTTGTCAATTTTTAATCTTTTCATTTGTACCCTCCTACTTCTTTAAATAATCAGCTTCATTCATATTTACGATTATTATTGTAATATTTTATTAAAACTGTTAAGCTCAAATATTGAACGAGGCCAGAGGAAGTTTTCCATGGATATTTTATAGTCGTGGAACTCACAAGGAGCTTATTTAATCATTAACTTAAAAATTATGAATTATCAGAAAATTCAAATAGGAAAAACGTGAAATTTTCCCGGGTATCTCTGCTTACATTAAATATATAAAATGATGAAAATATTCTCCACATTCTTTTAAAATTAAGTAACCTCGATTTGGTTTCTACACAGCCGCGTTTTTACCTACGTTTCTGATAGCATTTCTTTTTTTTATTATATTCTTTCTTTCTCTCTTTACCTATTTTCGAAATTACACCTTCTATGTATCTTTCTCCAACTCATTCTCACTCGTGATAAAAAAAAAAAGAAAGAAAAGAAATTTATCTAATTTACAATTTGTGCGTTTGGTCTGAAGTGACGACCAGCATTTCTGATGATAAATATGTTGATAAAATGAAACTCTGGACAATGGAGAGTGCGGGATGGAAACGCCACCTGGAAGCGAATCCGTCCCAGCCGTGATTTCCAGTGGGAACAAGACATGGAATGAGAATTGGTTTACTCTGATACGTGTAGCTTGATTTCTTCCGTGCGTCTCACTGCCATTTCAGTTAGGTTAATAGTCTCGGCAAAGGTTCGCTGATTTCTTATCTACAACGGGTAACGAAGTTCTTTTTATATAATTACTACTTTACCTACATGCCAATGATTACCTAAACGCATTTATCAGATCAACGCACATACATCGACAGAACTGCATCTCTTCTAACATCGCATTGTCTATTTTTGATCCAACATTTTATTACTTCAAATGTTATTATAGTGAACACTTGAAATCTACGCACGGTTCTTTCGCCGACAGAGAGGTGCGCAGGTTCGATCGCTGTCGGCGAACGCATTCCATTTTTGGAATGCGCCGGCGGGTAAATGTAATACACACTGTTTAATAAAGAAAAAGTGGAGTGTCAGTTTCAAATGAGAAATATCCACTGTAAAAACGATTGAAGTAATAAAAATGTCGAATTGAAAATAAATCCATTAATTCTTTAGAAATTGCTTTGTTTACGTTTTGCATACGAAACTGAATATATTTTCTGTTTTCTTTTTGAATTTGCAGGTCTGAGGAATTGGGTCGTGATTACAATTCCAATGTAATAAATTATTGTTATACTAGAACATACCTATTCTATTGTAAACAGACTCTCTCAGATATAATAAGTAGTAGTAGCAGCAGTCGCCAGGGGGCTCAGTGAGTTGGTCCGAGTTCAGTCTGAAGTCGGACGACCGGCTGACCGGTTGTACTCTCTGCCTTCGGACGGGGAGGAATCCGAACGAGGCTACGCAGAAGGGCGGAGTCTCTTTCGGGGAAGTAAACCAACCCTGAACCCGTTTATACGGGTTCAATGGGCATATTTTGGGCCGAGCCCACAGGCTCGGGGATCCCACGTTAAACCGGCCTTGTGCCACATGATGCCCTCGTTGGGAGGGGGTGACTAAATACTCTCAGTGGAGTTGGTGTGTCAGTCGATGTCGGACATTAAAGTATCAACCACCACAACTAGATTGCTGCGTCATTAACTATTATTTCAAGTTCCTAACCTTTTGTACGTCGAAGCTGTTTTTAGGACCGACTCAGTGAAATACAAGCCCCCACTGTGAAAACTACTCTACAAAAATTATAACGTTGTACAATACTGGTGCCAGACCCCTTCGAATAGCACTCGCACTAATAGTACTTGCTCATTAATACTCGCTCGAATAATGATCCGTATAGTGAGCTCTCAATAAAGAAAAATCTGAGTGAAGTGGATTTGATTTCCTTAAATAGGGTAAAAAGGCTTGTCTACTGGGAAGTCCTTTGTGGCTGAACGGTAAAGCATGCCGGATGAAATTCTAGTTTCCCCTAATAGGGGGAACGCACTTTCGATCCCTGTCGGAGGACGCATTTTCTTTACTTAGATTTCTCGAATGCGTAGGTCGTTAGACAGTTTAATAAATAAAAATGAGGAGTCAAACAAAACGTGCCAGCAGTAATAATAGGCCGTCTATTTCAAATAAAATGTAACCACTGTAATAAAGATTTAAAGTTTTAAAATATATATTGTCACACAATAAATGTAAGAAAATATACAAACACTACATACCCAAGTTCAAAATATTTTTTAAACGCTTTATATATATATATATATTTATAGATAGATAGATAGATAGATAGATAGATAATATTAGTGGTCAATATATATACACGCACACACACACACATATATATATATATATATATTTCCAAGAAGATATAATCCAGATAAAACTCTTTGTCATAGACAGAGCAAGAATATAATATAAAAGGATCAAACACTAATATTTCATGGTTATAATTTATTACATTGGAATTGTAATCACGACCCAATTCCTCAGACCTGCAAATTCAAAAAGAAAACAGAAAATACATCTCCGGGTTTATATATATGTAATGAATTAAGTCCGACAATTATTTAATATATTTTATGTTTATACGTTATTTTTATAGATACGTGAATGTTCTGTTTTTTTTTTTTTTTGTTTGTTTTTTGTTTTGTTTTTTTTTTTTGGTTTTTTTATTTAAACAGTATTAATTACAAATTCGTAGGAAATATGCGTTCTCCAACAGGAATTAAACCTATATTCTTATACGAAAACCGTCATTTGGCCTGACGTGTTGTACTATTCAGCTGTAGAGAAGCTTCTGGTTAGCAAAACCCGAATTACTGTTTATAAACACACAATCGTGGACGATTTTTCTCGATCGATCGTATCTGCTCATGAAACGTATCTTAACGTAAACAATGACAACATCTAATGAAATGAATGATGTCCGACTATTATTTAATATATTTTCTGTTTATACGTTATTTTTATAGATACAATTTATTTAAGTAAATGCTCTGTTTATATACATATCTATACACATAAAGGAGATTCTATTTTATTCGTGTATCTGGCACAATTTTTCACTATTTCATAATGAAAAAAGATTCGTAACCTGTTTCGTAAATTACAATTTTTTTATATTCAGGTAGCAACAAGGTCACTTTGCTGATCAAATCACAATTGTGGCCATGAATTCGAACACCTCGGAGAGTAAAATGTCGTTTCTGTTCGCCGGAAAATAACTGCATTCATTTATATATGCCATGGTCAAAATATTCAGATGTATGTTTTCGCAAATATACATTTTAGCAAGCATGAAGAAACGCAGAAATATGTGTCGGCAATGGGTCTATGCTGGTATTAATCATTGATTGGTTGAAAATTAGGAACATCTGTACACCTCCTTGCGTCGACTGATTGGATCAGAATTACATGCACCTGCGTGACGTGAGCAGCTGATTGGTTGATAAATGATTGGCATCCACAGTGGATTTCGTTTAAAGCAGTCGTGAAAGATGAACAATGAGAAAAGAAAGAAAAAAAAGAAAGAAATTAGATCGAACGCCAAAGAAAAAAGTGAGAGAAATGTTGTTAAAAGTCAGAAAAAGAAAAATATATCAAAATATGAAGGAAAAACAACAAAAAATTGGAAAAAAAGGAAGAAAGTTTTAAGCAAAGAGAGTTGTAAAAGAAAAAAATGTATTTTAAAAGAGAAAACAAGCAAAAATAAAGAAGTAATAGAAAGAAAAAGTAAATATTTGAAAAAAAAGTGTTAAAAAAGCAAAAATTACGCAATAGAAATTTAAAAAATAATCTTAAATTGAAAAGTTTAATTAGAAAGAAGAATGAACGTTTTGTTCATTCTGCTAAAAATAAGAAATAATTTCTGTGCGAAAAATTGTTTTCTACGAATAAAAACAAAGAGAAAATAAAAAAATTTAAGAAAAGAAATCGTGTAAATTCATTGAAACAATGAACACGAGATTAATGACGATTGACTAGACCCCGGTGAGGATTGAACTCATTACTATAGGAACACTCTGCTAGACTATCTACTTAACCCCTGCCTCGTGAAGAGACTTGGCTGATTTTAATAGAAGACCGAAAGTGTGGAACATCCCAGGAGATTGATCTGCGTCTTGTATTAATGTTCTAAAAGAATACTTGCTTCCTGTTGGTAGTTACGGTCATATCACCTTGGTTTAAGGTAAATTCTAAACATCGAAAAGTTTGGTACAGGGTAAGAAATGCAGATTACGATGGTGGTTAATATAGATTAGTGATTTCTTGCGCATTTTTTCACTGTCTTCGAGCCCAGGTTAAAATCTAAAATTCTGATTTACTTCCTTTTAGCTCTGCTAATTAAATACCAAATTCTTCTTCCCCTTCTTCTTCTAAATAAAATCCACTAATAAATCCAATTTTTATTTTATATTTTCACACATCATATTTTTTATTTTATTTTGACACACTTAAACTATGGCAACATTTAAAAATCGAACCCACACAAACTCGATGATATATACAGATGACGTCCACACAAGAAAGGCAGAAAACCAAAAAACAAACATAGAATTTATAACTGGATATAGACTTACACACTAACGCCAATATACATGGCGCGTCTTCATGACAAAGGAATAGGATTTAAAAAAAGAAACAACTGCGAATCATTCAACTAAAATATATATAAAACTGGACACTGAGGTCGACAGCGAGTGACAACGGTCTGTTTCATGAACAAACGCAATCGTCAGGCTATTTTATCATATATATATAATTAGGAAATCATATTTGGCATTATTTATGAAAGCATTTCCATATATATATATATATATATATATATATATATATATATATATATATATATATATATATGTAAGCAAATATATGGATATAGATCCGACAGTATGAAGAAAAATGTTATAATTTATGAATATGTCCTGAAGATGGTTTATTAGACCGAAACGTCTGACGTTGACATATTAACATTAAAACAGCATAATTGTATATAAGGATTTTTGTTTGTTTTTTCCGTATATATTTTTCTTCACACACATATATATATATATATATATATATATATATATATATATATATATATATATATATATATATAATTAAAATATATATTAATTAAAATATATATAGAAAATAATTATATATAGAAAATATATATAGAAAATAATATATACATATAAAATAATTATAATATATATATATATATTATAATTATTTTTTAAGTATGTCTCCATCGCAAATATTATAATTATTTTCTAAAAAATATGTCTCCATCGCAACACAGAAATTAGTGTTTCGAAACCGAAATATAAATCTAAAAATTTATCTTTAATTTTAAGAATTTAGGTTTGGTTTCGAAACATAATAATTTCTGTGTTGCAATGGAGACATATTTTCTTTTTTTAATGATGATAATATTATGCTCTACTTTGCATTGAGTACTGTTTTTTTTTGTTTTTTTTTTTTGTTTGTTTGTTTTTGTTTGTTTTTTAAATAAAAATAAATGCTAAACAACTCCGGATTATAAATCTGACTGTTCTTTCCTATTATTTGAATATATATATATATATATATATCGAGACAAACAGAATTCTTATCGTAGACGCGTTTGATCCTCTGATGACACTTTTAAAGGGAAATGTGAAGATTTCATTTTGCAAGAAATATTCGTAAGGCACTTGTTAGTTTTACAAAATTTTTAAATTTAAGAGAAACTCATGAATATTCATCAAGTTAACTCAAAAGTTTAAGTAAACTATGGGGGATGCTAAGTAACGTAATTTTATGTCTAATAAACGAAAGTGATTAAATGATGTTGAATTTTTTATGCAATTAATATTTAAAATATTTTATTATGGGATGAATTTATGTATGATATATTTTTTAAATAACAGGTGGTTATGAATTTAACCGTTTTCTTTTCTTTTAGGTTGATATCCGTATTTGAGTAGAATACAACGTTTCTTCTTAAACTTTTTTTTCTTTCGTCTACAGGGCTGCGTATTCAAGAAACTTAATAAAGTAGGATTCGAACCTGCGTCGCCGTTCGTAGGAGGAATCACCGCCTGATTCGGCGTGCTTTAGACCACTCGGCTATGAAGTGCCACAAAGCCAAGCAAGATTTTATAGACGAAATAAATAATATTTAAGAAAATACAAAAAATAGGACGTCCCACTAAGAAATATCGTTTAATCTATATTAACGAACACCGAAATCTGTATCAGTTTGGAGTAATAAAAACATACCGGATGATAAAATAAAAAAATCTATTAAGTATCTATCTATCTATCTATCTGTCTGTCTATCTATCTATCTATCTATCTCTGTCTCTGTCTGTCTCTCTATCTATCTATCTGTTTCTTTGAGAGATGATTGAAGAATCACTTAAAATCGAATAAATTCGTATTTACCATTTTCCTAAGAAGCCGAAACAACATAATTTCGTGGAAAACTGACAAAAAACTGTCTCTGTCTGTCTGTCTATCTATCTATCTATCTATCTATCTATCTATCTATCTGTTTCTACTGTGTTAAGATTCGCAGAAAATTTACAACTTATTGATGAATAGTTTAAACTTAACAAGAAACGATTATTGAAGGAATTGCTTTCATTCTATCACGGTCACTTTATTTAAAAAAAAAACTAACCATAAAATCTGTTTATTGACGATAGCTTAACTTATTTCTACACGTAATCTGAGGTTTTTAGATTTGCAAGTGAGATACTGTCAGTTTTTCCACGAAATTATGTTGTTTCGACTTCTTAGGAAAATGGTAAATACGAATTTATTCGATTTTAAGTGATTCTTCCTACAAGATTTTTTTCATCAGAGTTGCGTAACATTCATTATAAATTTATTTTTAAAAGAGTAGTTATTAAAATTTGTCTCAATCATTTTCACAGTAAATTAATAATAATCTTTTGACCTATACAATTGCACATAATCATCCTTGTGAATGCGTTTATATATATATATGTGTGTGTGTGTGTTTCTGTGTGATAGATAAAACACACACACACATATATATATATAGATAGATAGATAGATAGATAGATAGATAGATAGATTTTTGGAAATGCTATCTGATGATCCGGCGTCCTTTAAAAGGGCTCTGGTGAAATAAATTATCATAATGGTATCTTAAAAGTGGTCTGTTTTTTCTTTAATATATATATATATATATATATATATATATATATATATATATATATATATATATATAATAAATATATGGATATAGATCCGACAGTATGAATAAAAATATATACGGAAAAAAGGATTTTTTTGTTTGTTTTTTTCCGTATATATTTTTTTCATATATATATATATATATATATATATATATATATATATAGGTACCACCACAGAAAACGCGCGATACCTGAGGTTTAGAATGAGTTTTTAATAATTAAAAAAATCTTGCTTGAAGCTTTTATTTTAAACTTATAGATTAAATTTAATATTTCGAATAAGCAAAATAATTTGCTGTATTTCAAAACTAATTTAACTTAACCGGAAGTAATTTTTATTTATTTATTTGCTAAAATAGCTGATTACCTCCTCTTTCGGGTCGTCTTTCATTGCAATATAATTGTCTTTATTAAAAAATCTTCCAAAAATAAAATATCTTTTTCTGAAACTTTATCTGAGGAATATTAGCCGATTTAAAGTATAACTAATCCGATTTGAAACAAATATTATTTGCTTTAATTTTAAAATATCGTAGAAATGCTTTTTTAACACAGTGACAGCTGTATTTAAGGTAATGAATAACTGAATATAACATGAGCGCCTTTTATATATATAAGTAATCTTTAAAATTTTAAGAAAAAATTCTCCTTAATCTAATGTTTTATTGAATTTTAGATACTTTCTGATTTTAAATTTATTATAGTTATTGCTTTTATTTTCTGATAATGTCGGTATGATCAACCGTATTTACAAAATTCGGTATGTTTATACACATACAAAAAGATACCAAATATTGCTGTTTAATGATTTGTATATAGCTTTTCCATGTATGTTTAGTAAAAAATAATTTTCACTTAATAATAATATCATCGAAAAGCGTGAAATTAATACAGAATTTTAAAAGATTTAAAATTTAATGAATTATTCTAATTAATTTTTTTTTTTAAATTTACGACAATTCTTATAAAAATTCATTATTCATGGAAAATGTTTTTCGTGAGACAATAGTGTCCTTAATATATCTTATTTTTTATAGCAATTAAAAGATTTTATATTTAAATAATGTCATAGTTTTATTGCATTTTTTTTATTTTACGATTTAGAGATTTTCGGTAAATGGTATTTCTGCATGAGAAAAATAAATTGATGATTTAAATTCTCCAGGGAGTCCTGCTTTCATTTAATATAAATATGAAGATTAAGTGTGGATAAAAGATATAAAGAAAAATATTTTTACCAAGATTTTCAAAAACACAAAACTTTCAAAAATAAGTTCATTTATTTCTGAATAAATCCTGAACATTTTGTTAAAATCCTACAATTTTTTTGATTTTTGCAAGTATTTCCAAAACAACGTATTTTTACAGAAAAAAAGGCTACTTTTCCTATACCTGCTGACGCACATTTCAAGATGTTAAAAAAAAGAGATTTTTAATTAACATTTCGAACATTCTAAAAAGGATTAAAAAAATGAAAAAAATACTTCAGTCTCTTAATGATTTTTTTTTTTCAAGTTTGGGGGCGTTTTTATTATAGTATGCTCTTTTTGGTGGATATTTAAAGGTACGTAGTATATAATGGACTCTTCCGTCGATTTCGACGTATGAGAATCTGACAACTTAACCAAGCGATTCAGTCATGAATTTTGTGCGATAATCTTAAGTGACACTTATGACCTGCAAGTGATTTGCAAAGGAGGTCGCATATGGAGCAAGAGCGAGGATTGTGAGATGAGGCCACTGTTAGATTGGCTGACCTTTTAGATCTTGCTCTCGCTGCTTGAAGACGATTCAGACTAGCAGAGTGAAAACTGCCGAGCCCACTAAAACACGTTGATCTCCATTCTAACCGCTCCAACGCTAAGCTTTCGAGTTTGTTATGAGATATATTGATAGCTGACAAGTTACTCTTCAGCTTGTCTTTGTATCGTAGCCATTCTTTCTATCGTAGCCATTCCTGTAGCTTTGATATAACTGGCTGTACATTATCCTGTCATCAGACATTCTCAAGACATTTCACTTCAACTGAGACTGTATGAGTAAAGTCTCGATTCCTCCAATATTACACTTGTTAAACAAGTCTGTATTGAATGCCCTGTCTGTAAGGCTAACTCCACATTATATATATATATATATATATATATATATATATATATATATATATATATATATATAATTATTTATTTAAAAATATGATTCCAAATCGCTACATAAGAGGTCTCATGTTTCAAAACAAGAGCCGAAAACTTCAATATAATCCTTTAAATTAAATTGAGTTTAAATTAAAATGGGCTCCGTTCCATCTTCAAGCGAAATTTTTTTTTATATATATATATATATATATATATATATATATATATGAGGAGGAGGAGAAAAATTACGTTGGAGTAATCGATGGCGTCTTGGATTGAGGAATCGGAGAGCCGAGCTCGAATTCAAGTCGAATCCATGACATTCACTTACGTGCAAATACCCTTGGGAAAGGTGTGAATCATCTTCTTCTCCCTCCAGCTATGGGTAAATAGCAGGACGGACTGGGTTCTATAGCCTTGGATGGCAACTGGTCTAGGAGAAGGAAAACTCTGAATTCAAAACCTGCGGAGGGTCGTTTGTGGACCTTGTGGCACTTAGTGCACCAGGTCTCTGAATTCGGCCCTTCAGAAAGTGTGGATGGTCCTGCGCGAAACCTTCACCACTATAATCAAATCTCATGTGCTATACATGCGGGTTTGGGGACCGTTTGTGAATTCCATATCCCCATGAAACTCAACCCACCCCAGGTAAATGCCGTTACAGGTACAGGTAAAAAATACGTAAAAAAAACGACATTATTACGTAATTATTTTTGCACCAACCTAATATAATTAAATTGCTTAGTTATTCAAATAAAGATATTTTCTGCACTGGAAGTAGTAACAACCTTAGCTGTTTAATTACAGCTTGGCAATGAAAGGATACATCAAAGGAAATAAGCAATTTTAGTAGTTTTAATAATACATTTTCGAAAATTAACAAATATGATAAAATATGATAAATGAAAGACCTACATTATTTACATTATTTGGACTATTGTCCTCATCTTCGTCGCCATATTTATCACAACGTTTTGGCCGTTGTACGCTCCGGTCTTCTTCAGGTGGTTCCTACCCAGATGTCCTCAAGGACACATGGCACAGTGGATAAAGGTGTTGGTTAGATCCAGTGACGGGACCCAAAGAGTAGGAGTTCAATACCCGGTTAAGGCAGTGGAGAACTTTCGGGGGGAAATTAACAGGAGATAACTGATAACTGACATCCATCAAACATGGCACGTGGAACCAACCACCTGAAGAAGGCCGGAGCGTACAATGGCCGAAACGTTGTGATAAATATGGCAACAAAGATGAGGACAATAGTCCGAATAATGTAAATAATGTATATAATACCTCATCTCAAAAATATAGACAGACTATGAAAGAACTAAATGGATAATTATACCAATCGAATTTATTTCATTAAATCTTCGCTAAAAAACATTTTACAGTATACTCAGATCTCATAGATCTCTTAAAAAGGACTGTGTAACACAGTGCAACTCCGGGTGTCCTTGCATGTTTTAATGTACATAGTTATATAAATAATTACTTCGCAAAAAGATTTTTTGTAAAAAGCGTTTATTTTACAAAAGAAATATTTATTTCTTGACATAATTTCATACTTTGTCAATTCAGTAGTGAATATTAATAGCGCTGACTAAATTTTATACGTTGAAATTTTGCGATCAAAATTCAGTTACGAGTCAGGCTACATACTTTTTGTTCCAATTTTGCATATAATGCGCAAGCAAATTTTATATGTATTCATATAAATACAAAATATGTTTTTTTTATAGATGTTTACATATATTCAAACTATACCCGAAGAATATGTATTTTGATTTAACCATTTTTTTTTTTTTTTGTCGCTTTGTTAGAGATCTTGATCTTCCAGGTTATGCACCCAAACAAGCCTGAGTCTAGAAAATCAATAAACGGAAGTCGTGTTTTTGATTGCTTGTTTTGTATTTTCGCCATACAATTCTTACCAACGTAGAAAAAATGTAACCAATATGGCCGCTGCCTTCTTCTGTTTGCTCTTCTTCAATTGAGTAATATTGCTTTTACCATTCCATTTTGGCAAGGAGATCAAGAGATTCAACTTTTCACCGAAAGACATTACATGACCGTCTTTGAAATATTACAAAAATGTCGAAGAACATGCACGTGCCTTTAGGTTGTAGCTGTACAGATTAGGAATATGCCATAATCGTTAATATAGACAAAATATACAGGTTTTACTTCTTCAACTTCCACTTCTTCTTCTTCTTCTTCTTCTTCTTCTTCTTCTTCTTCTTCTTCTTCTCCTCCTCCTTCTTCTTCTATTTGGCATTTATTTTATTTATTTCTAATTCTCTTCTCTTTCTCTTTCATTTTCTCAGCTTTTTACCTCTCTTCCTTTTCTTCTTCTCTCCTGTCGTTATTCCTTTCTTTCGTGCCGCCATCTTTTAAAACTTTTTCTTTTCTTATTTAACTGTTTGACATTTTGCAGCGATAATCTGTCTTCTTATTTTCAACTAATCACATCTTCATTTTCTTTTTCTTTCCTCTCCTTGTTCTTGTCTGTTTTGCTTATAATCGTCTTTCATTTTATTTTCTTTCGATTCTTTTGTTTTCTTCTCTTGACAATCTTTCTTTCGAAATATTAATCGCTTTTTTTTGTAGTTGTTGGCATAGTGTTTCGGCCTATCCATTTTAGGGTATTCTTAAGATATGCATTTCATTAGGAGACAGGTGTAGGATTCTTTTCTATGGAAATAGTCAGAAATCAAAAGAAATCATGACTAATATATCCAAAAAGCAGAAGAGTATATTTTCAAGAACCATCCCCAGCAACCCAAGTAAAAAAGTGGTTCGATCATTTTTATACGAATTTATACTTCAATTGGTTTTCTGTAAAGCAAAGAAATCAACTCTATGTGAAATATACAGGCCTAACTCAACACCATTAAGCTACTTTATACTTCGTCAAGTTTTCATATCCTTCAGTTTTTTTCTTTCTATTATTCGGTCCTCACCCAGAAAGAATAACATATGCAGCGTACTTCAACATTCTTACATTCAAGCGATGTTCACTAATTATTATTTGAACCTTACCCACGTGAGAATAATATATACCGTGGACTTCAATTTTCAACAAACGTCGATAATATTCACTATCTATTGAGCGGGCATCATCCACGAGAGAATAACGTATACCGTGACATTTAAACTTCAATAAACTTCAACAATATTCCCTGTCTATTATTATATTCTACGTGAAAGAATAATGTATACAAAGACCTTAAACCTTCAACAAACTTCAACAATATTCACTATTATTTGGATCTCATGTATGCGATAATAACGTATACTGTGGCGTTCAAACTTTAACAGTGCTCCCTATCTATTATTTGGATCACATCAATGAAAAAATAATGTATACCAAGGCCTTAAACCTTCAATAAACTTCAACGATGTTCCCTATCTATTACTTGGTCTATACAAATAGGAGACTAACTTATACCGTAGCCTTCAAACTTCAGCAATCTTCCCTATCTATTATTTGGACTTCATCCATGAGAAAATAGCGTTTGCTGCTTCTTTCAACTTTCTTACTTTTCCGAAATATTCCTTATGCATTATTTGAACCTCATCTTAAAGAAGCCATTATATAATGCTACTTTCTAAAATCTATCTCCTGTCTACTTTCTCTTAACCTTCAGGAATTCCGTACAACAAAGAACAACAAATCGAAACAAAAACCTTCTCTTTCACATTATGCACATATGTATTTTCTCTCCTATTTTCCCCAGTTTGGATAAGTGAATGAATTATTCTGAAACTTAGAGAAGCTCGCAGATTTCATAATTAAGAATTCTAATTTTCAAAATTGCCTTGAAATAAATGCGGATCAAAATCTGTATCGTAAATTTTCATCACTATAGAAACGGTGAAAATTCTTTTACGATCTTGCATAAACAAGCAGTATAACTTAATTCTTAAACTGATTAATGTCAGACATTAGGTATTACCATTATCAAAATATTAAAGGTCTCAGAACTATTTTCTTTTTTACAGACATAAATGTAACGTGTATTTTATTTGTACACATAAAGACTTCACTTCCTGAATAGATGTATTATTAATTAAACAATATATTTTAATAAACACACATATCTTTTTTGTGGACGTTTTTATTTGGCGAGAGGTGTGAAGTGCTACAGATCAGACTGTAGTTTCTTCTACTAAAAGGAGGCTTTGGTTTGAACCCTGTCCAAGGGCATATATATATATATGTATTTTTTATTAAGATTCCGGAATGAGCAGGAGATGTATTTAAAACTTTATTTTGAGATCGTATTTTTTCTTTAAAAATGTTGATTATTTTTTTTAAATAATCTATTACACACACACACATATATATATATATATATATATATATATATATATATATATATATATATATATATATATATATTAAGAAATGGACAAAGTCTGACAATTTATTTATTAAAGACATTTTTTATGTTTATAAAAAGAATGTTAAACATAAAAATGTCTTTAATATATATATATATATATATATATATATATATATATATATATATATATATATATATATATATATATATGTATGTATGTATGTATGTATGTATATATATTACAGCAAGCTTCACTCTTACAAGGCCCAGGAAAGCAAACAGTTTGGCCCAGCTTTGAACAGATTAAGATTGTATTGATCGTAGAAACATCCTCTTGGGAGTCTGTTCCACAAAGTAGTGATTCGCGGAGAGAAGTTGCTAAAGTGGAACTTACTTCTCACCGATAGAATACGGAAGGAATGTGGGTGGTTTGATACGATGTAAGTGGCATTGTGCGTACTTGCCGTGAAGGTTTGCCTCGGCGAGACCAGAGAATGTAGTTCGTCCGAGAACTTTTCCGTGGCAGTAGCGGTAGAGCAGTGACAGGTTTACTACATACCACCCGTGTGTGAGAGGTTGAAGAGTGGAGAATCACCCACATGGCTCGAAGAAGCTTTTGAACTCTATCAAGGTCGGAGAGTGTGGTATGGGCTGTTCCCGCCCAAATATGACAACAGTACTCCATTTCTGGCCTGATCTGGTTCTTTTAAAGATAGAGGATAGCAAGAGTGGTCAAGTACTTACTGAAGCGGTACAGGGAGTCAGACATTTTACCTGCATCCTTAGCAATCGATCTTAGGTAAGAGTTCCACTTGAAGTCCGGTGTGAGTTTGAGGCTCAAAAGTCTTTCGAGGCACCGTGCTTTCCTTGAGAGGACCTTCGTTCATCAAGATTGATGGCAGTTCGGAGTCAGATCGGTGGTGATGCAATGTATCTAGCTTGGTTTCGAGGGAGGTATTGAATGTAACCAGCCAGTTTTTACCCCATTGGTTAGTTTGTGCAAGATCGGAAGAGATTTCAGTCGCCAGTCTCTGACCATTGAGAGTTTTAGAGGTGCGACCATATATAGTTGTATCATCAGCATAGATGTTTACAACTGATCTGAGGATATTTTTAGGCAGATCATTTATATAGATCAAAAAGGGGGTTGGGTTTGAATACTTGGATGAGTATCACCACGGAATTTGAGAGTAGCGGCGTTGATCCAGTGGTACGATGCTAGCGTTCTATCGTAAAGATCCGGGTTCGATTCTAGGTAATGGATGTGCACTGTTGATAAGTCTCAAATGCCCAGTGCTTTCTGCATTCTGTCGAGGAGTCTTCTAAACTCGATGAATTGCTATAACGATTATTCTAACCCGACAAAATTCTATCACTTATATAAAGCTTAAAAATCCACAAAAGTTCTTTATTAAGGGTTTTTTTCATGTGTATTTCGAATGATCTTTTCCAATCTCTGACCATCGAGAGCTTTAGAGGTGCGTCCGCTTATAGTCGTATCATCGACATAGATGTTTACAAATGATCTGAGTATATTTTTAGGCAGATCATTTATGTAGATCAAAAAGTGGTTTGGTCCAAGAAGTCACCCCTGGGGGACGCCCACGTTAATCTCGGAAGACTGGCCATTGATAACTACGTACTGTTAGGCAGGATTTGATGATTGAGAAGACCCTTCCAATTACACCATAACTGGAGAGCTTGTGTAGTACGCATATGTACCACACTTTCCTGGTGACAGGTAAAAATTTGTGTATTGTGCTATGTATCTTCAGCTATCATTAGCCATTGTCAATTTTATTTTATGATAATTTTCAATCTGCAATGATATTGGTTCTGACCTGGCATCTCGACTTTGTAATGTAGCTTCCCTATGTCTTTTACATAAACACCTTCGTGGTTTTTTATGTAATGATGACTTCTTCTCTGTGGTACATAGACTCTGTGAATTTAAGCGCATTACTAGATATTTTTTTCGAATTTCGAAACAATTTCTTTATTTCGTTCACGGGGTAGGGCGTAGATTCTAATTCCACATGCCATGCCTTTGGATAGCTCAGTTTTAGTTAATTCCTTTTGATAACAAACTCTCCAAGTTTTTGTTGGAGAGTCTGCTGTGGCCAGTTTAATATTTGAATCAGTTAACCAACACATTTATCCTTAAGGACATTAGTGAATAAATTTTGGGGACTTATAAACTTAATATCCCAGTAACCATGTTTTACCAGAGCTTATATTACATGTTTTTGTTATTGCTGTTTTTCTCTAGCTCTGTGTATTATTGATCCCCATATTGTATTTCAATATTAAAAAAAAAAAAAGTAATATGAGCTCTGGTAAAAAAACGAAAAAGTTACTGAGACATTAATCTTATAATTCCCCAAAATTCACTAATGAGGTTAATTTTAGCCCAGTGGATAAAAGCGTTTATTGATTAATCCAAAAATGACTTGACCTAGAGTTTTGAGTTCAATCTCTTTCCACAGCAGAGAGAACAAAAACCTTGTAGATTTGAGTTATCAAGGGTAATTAACTAAAACGGAGTTGTCCAAAGGCATGGCATGTGGAATTAGAACAACCTACCCCCGTGGAAAAATATTGTCTTGCACGGCACAGTGAACTGACCATCTTAACAGCTGACCTAGCAATGAATTCAATATAGTCTTTCCACTTCGATTAAATTCATGAAATCTATGTACCATAGCAATGAGTTCATCCGAACAATTACCATGAAGGTATTCATAGAAAATGCACAGGGAAATTACATTAAGGTGAAAAGAAAATGAATTAAGCCGGGATGACAGGCCAGCAACAATAACATTGCTGACGTTTCTTAGGATTTTATCAAGATTCCCAAAATATATAACTGGAGCACCTGATCTGAGGCAGCAATATTCAAACATGATAGATAGACTTATATATATATATATATATATATATATATATATATATATATATATATATATATATGTATGTATGTATGTATGTAAGTATCAATTCAAATTTCGTCCGAAACCTTTCTAAAGACAGGTATTTCAAACCCTATCAAACGCTTTCGAGGTATTCAAAGCCACATCCCGATCGTCACCAGTCATATCTAAAGTTTGATAGACTCATTCAGCAATAAATGTTAGTACATCAGTAGTTGAACTGGAGAAACGAAAACCATATTGCTTGTCTGAAAGACGGCCCTGCGATGTGAGATGCTTAACCAATTCAGAGTTGACTAGATCTATTGCTTTGACAAAAGGAGTTAGAATTGGTAGATAGTTGGAAGGGTCAGACTGTTCATCTGATTTCTTAAAAACTGGAACAACAAAGGAGGATTCCTAAACAAAAAGGGAAACAAGAGGCAGGGTTTACTGTTCAGCTTAGAGAGGACAGGAGCCAGTTCGGAGGCGCATTTCTTAAGGTCTGATCATGCTTTGTGGGGATCCAGATTAGATATAATAGCAGAAACCATAGAAGAATTTAATGCTATGCATATAACAAATATATATATAATGTTTAAAATGTTCTGTATTTATGGGTAAAGTTTGGTGACTATCGCAGAGAGAGAGAGAGAGAGAGAGCATGTGTTTATATAGACAATGTCAACACAGAAATTGACTCTACACCGTGAATGCTAATTTCTCGATCTTGTGATCCTCTTCAGGCAGTCTTTTCTTTTGTCATTAAGTTCTTACTCGACGTATTC